CCAGGCCCTAAACAAGAAAGTTCATTAGCAGAGGGTCTGATCTTCGATTACTGTAATATGTCGTTGTCTACAGCAAGCTGCATCTACAGAAACAAGGCTTGATGAATCTTAAAAAGTGGGCTTTCTGGCATGTGACAGTTTCTGATGCAATAAATGGATTAGTTTTTAAGGGACACCAGGATGATTTGTGACTTTTACTCCAACAGGTTCATATGACTTCCTGTGAAACGGCTGACAAAGAACATGGATGGTAATTGCTGCCCAAAGACTGCTGCTTTTTACAAGCTATATATAAAATTAAAATACATCAAGAGGATTTGTAATTATGTTAAAACAACCAAGAAGGATGGACTTTCAACCTCTGGGTACTACTGAAAATATTAGGGTTTAATTTATAATGGTTTGGATCACAGAAGTTCCTTGAGTGTAGTTTTAAACTACATGCTGGTCATTTGGGTTCTAATAAAGAAATATACTTTCCAAAATGTTACCAACCACAATCAAATAACTCTGAACTGTCTGGGAATTGAGGTGAGACAAGGCAAAAGGGCAGGGTAACATGGGCACAGACCTCCATAAATAGTTAATTTACACCTTACAGTAGAAAATGGGAACAAGAGTTAAGCTAGCCATATTTGTTTTAAACAACTATTTAAACCATTTCCATGGTCAACCTATTACCAAATTAATGAAGACATAAAAGAGTTTAAAGTTTAAGCTAAGCAGACAGCCCTAAAATGTAGTTTTAGCAGCAGAATAAATGGATGATTAGAAAGAACTAATGATAAATTATTTAGTGGAAATAGAATCTAATCTACCCTTTTTAAGTTCTGATAAATTCATTAAGTAGATCAGTGGCTGGGATCATATAACATGCTAATTATAAAACTATTGTGCTTGTTTCTGGCTTAGAATGATTATATGAACAGATAAATAAATCACGTTTAAGGAAAGTACGTCACTTTGAAACCATGGTTTGCTTTAGCTTATTAATTGCAACTATAATTTAGTGGTATATGGAAATGCCAATACTGTACATAATTTGTGTTTTCTTAGTTTTTATGCCTTGACCAAAGCTTTAAATTATTTGAGATCCAAGGTAAGAACAGTGAAAATGAAGAGGAAACAAACCAGGAGTTGGCCAATTAAGCAATTTGCTTATCTGCAAATACATGCCTTTTGTATCTGCACAGTTCTCTGGTTTCTAGAGAATGCAGGTAGCCTAACACCGCATGTTCATACTCGGTTCCTGTTTTCAGGATTTATTCCTCCAGCAGCTTTCTCTTCTGTAATCTTAAATCACAAGTATCAGTCCGACTAAATATAAGTGCATACTACAATTAGAAGAAATCCAATAGCATTTCTCCAGAGAAATCCAAGATTGCAGGAAGCTTAGGACTCAGGTGAAAAATACTAACTCCTGGGAATAGCAAAGGTCTGAGATTTATTAAACATTAACTAGATGCTAGCAGTGTTGAAAGCAGTTCTTTTACATGCAACACTTTTGCTGGCAAGTGTGAGAGTTTTGTAATAATTATTCAGAGACTTGTCTATAATTTCCATCTTCTTAGGTGCACTATGAAGCTCTCAAAGGAACCGTGAATTTTGTTTCACTATGTTCTTCTGATCTTGATGTCTTTTGGAGGTGGGGCTCTCTTCTACATCCCAATACTTATTTTCTAGATTCATCAAAGACCTAGATAGTGTGGCTATTTCTAAAATGCTAAATCACCAATTTAGGAATGTTTGTCCCAAATATATTCCAAAGGGTTCATTATGTTTTCAAGCTATGCAATACAAACAATACAAACCTTCCCTTACAATATTTATTTCTACTGTCTACTTCTAATAGAATAGGATGATTTGGTATTAATGTCTCATATTCTATGAAAATATATAAAGTAAAATTGTTCTCAATACCAATCATCTGCAAAAACTATTCTGAAGGATAGAATTTCCATTTGTATCACTTTTTTTCCTATGATTAGAATACAGGTACCATGACTCCAATGCACAGAGAAACTCAATGTGCATAAAAGAGTTTTCCAATCAGGAACATGTGTGCATACAGCGTAAACGAAGATGGACCTAGAGTTACTAGAAAATGTGTGTTTGGATCACACAATGCAGAATCAGCCTGCAGTTACCATTAATTTATCTACTTTTTAAGAACATCCTGACTCACCAACAATACTCCAACATTCCAATGTTCATAATGTTATGAAAACCATTAAACTAAACAACCATCCATTTCTTTTTAGATCACAGTCATGACTTAGACAAAAAAGCTTCAGAAGCGAACAAGGAAATTAAAGAACTCATGTGTTTTTACAATGCTTGACTCTTCCGTGGGAATGAAATGTTGGTTGTTAATATTATCAATTACTTGTCAAATCTGAAAAATGTTCATGTGTTATTCTGTACCCTCAAGTACAGCAACATAATTTTACTGCTGTTGTAAAAGCTATCAGCTTCAATCACATGAGTATTACTCAGTCAAACCGAATTGTATATATGAAAATATCTTTTAACATTTGCACAAAGCAAATTGTCATAGCCAGACAAGGAACACATTTCTTTCTCCTTCAAGATCCAGCTTCCAGTGTCTTCTCTGTCGTGCGTCAACTGCATAGACAACAACAATAGTGCATCTCATCACAGAAAAGTGCTGTCACTGTTAAGTTCTATTAAACCTGCAGCCCATCAAAACAGTGTATTTACCAGTTTTCTCATATTAATCTGACATAACTTTAAATATATTAAATGCAATATATACTGAATTTAACTAAAATTATTAATAAAAAGCAGTAATAATCCATTTTGCCACAGTCCTAGTTTCAATGTATTTCTACTACATCAAGAACACCACATACAGTAATAGGATTCTGCAAATCCTTTGAAAGAGGTGGTTCAGAAGATACAGAGACACATAGAAACTACAAACTATTACAGCAACCAACTCTTTTTTTCAGATGCCTGGTGAAATGAATTGGCTATGCTTGCACACCTGTAGAGAGACAGTAGGAAGCAGCTTTTCAAAGCAGCCACATCTCCTGCAAATTTTGATACCCCTCTTTGAAGGATCTGCACAGTCCTAATGCATAATATGTGCCAAAAATGCACACACTTTTTAAAGACCAGGGTTAAGATGCTTACCTTTCTTTTTTCTTCATCTGATGACTCAAATTTGAAAGTGGCCCTATTCTAAAGAAATAAACAAAATTCATTTTTTTAAAAAATGTGAATATACATTTTTCATACAGGCTTACACATTTAATTTTGCCAAAACACACTTTAATTCAATATCTGAACCTTTACCAAAATCATTTGGAAAAGATTCAAGCCTTTCACTTTAACTGAGTGAACTTTTATTTTTGAATTAATCATGAATACAGATTAGCTAGCAATTTCCCTTTTATATCTATGTTTAAATGGAGAAATAGAAATCTGAGGCATCCTTAATAAATTTTTTTAGAATTATGAATAATCATTCTACTGTTGGACAGAGCAGCCCTAACCCACTTAGGACTGCTCAGTTAGTGACTCTTCACCAGGCAGTTACTTGACATCCAAACTATTACCCTCTGAAATGCCAGCCTTAATACTCTGACAGTGCAACCCTAAGAATGTTTGCTTAGAATGAATCCCATCAAGCTCAGAGGGATTTATATAGGATTGCTCTACAAGAATTATTATCAATAGAGCTATCAGCAAAAGGCCCTTGCTGAGACAGTGCCAAGATGGGTTTTGCAAAGTATGAGTTCATGGACAACAGGTTACCATGACTATTAGCCATGGCAACGAAATGGAAGCTAGAATTGGATATGCCTATTAAAATATTCAGCAGTGAAAGAGTTATTGCATCAATACTTTTCAAATACGAAGCAAGAAGCATTGGATAATTTAATCCCCATACAAACACCTGGGACTACTCTGTACAAGTAATAATATGTTCTAGTACAAACTACAGGATGCGTTTTCTGAGTTACAAAATGCTTTGAGAATACCCATCAAGCAATAGATATTTCAACCAGGATCCTACAGATTACTTTAACTAGACATTTTAATTACCTTCACAATGCACTAGCAAGCAACGTCGATTAGTGGAGCAGTGTTGCTAGAGCTGGCTCACTAGTAGCTAGGCAACTACCTAGGGGGACCAGCTGAAGCTTTAAAGGTAACCTTGTGTAGAGGAGTACCCAAAGGACTACAGAGACTTAATTCCTCAACTCATAGCACAGAAAAAACAAACATCAGTCTATATCTAGCTAAATGAGGAAGTCTGCTTTCCATTCTTCATGCTAGCCAAAAAAAAAAAAAAATCCTAAAAATGGGGAAAGTTCAAAGAGAAAAGGTGCTAAAAACATGACCCTGGAGAAAAACAATTACTTGTTTTCATGGGACTTGATTTTTGACAATTTTTTGCCTCAGAAGCTTCACTTTTACACAACATAATTATAGTTCTAATTGTTACAGAACCTTTACTGTGGTTAGTAGCATCATGCAGTTTTTCTACAGCCTTTCTTGAATTCATTAAAAAAGTTTGCATTGTTGTATGCCTACACAGAAGAGGAAGCAATCCATGACACTAAAGGAAGTGGGGAAGAGCTTATTAAGAAAATGTGCATTATAATCTGGAAAAATGTAAATATTCAAATAACAGAAATTACAGGCTACAATAATGATGGTGATTGCCACAGCAGTACTGGATGTTGGGCTGAAGATGACAGCCACGGTGGTAACCCCAAGAAGGAAAAATTAAAGAGCACTGACTCAAAAAAGAAAAAAAATGCAATAATGAGACAAAAGAATGTTATTACTGGGAAAGATGCAAGAAATGTATTAAGCCCTATAAAGAAAACACCTTTGGTGCAGATGATAGGCAGAGCTGAACACTTATATTTGGTGGAACAAAAGATCAGTTTGCCGTTGCGCGGCATGGCATGAAGGAGGCACGGAGGTTGCAATCCTATGCACTATTACCCAGAAGCAAAGAGCAATTTGCTGGGAGAGGGTGGTTATGCCCGGGACGTCCTCCAGAGAGCCACACGGGAGAGTCAGCTTCACCCAGCCAGAAGCACTGACAGCTGCAGATGGATGATGGACGCCGTGGATCAACACAGCTGGGGGGCACCAGGTTGGGGAAGGCTGAGGGATCTCATTCATTAGCCGGCTAACCTCGGAAGCGGGGAGGAGGCTCCCTCGCTGCCTCTGGCCCTTCTAACGCAGCTCGGGGACCCCCAGGCGGGGGGCTTGAGGAGGATGCTCGGAGGACGGGCAGGAGGAGGGGTGGGGACTACCCCGAAGGCTGCTCCATTCTAGCATCGTCCAAGGGCGCGTGGACTGCAACTCCCATCTCCCCAGTGCGCCAGACAGCTAGACTTAATCCGGGTGGGGATTATGGGCGTTACCTCCCCCCACACCTGGAAGGCTGCCCCAAAGGCTACGGGCTCACAAAGGGGGGCGGTGTCGTTAACGGAGAGCGGCGCTAGCGGGACGCCGTCAATACCTGCTCATTGAAGCGGCTCAGGACCTGCTCAGCCCCGTCTCGCCCTCCGACCGCTGCCAGCGCCGCTTCCACCGCCATTCTTGAGTAGGGCGCGGCCGGACGGCCAGCTCGTTCTCACGGCCAGGCTTTTTTTTTTTAAACCCTTCTACCTTTGACCTCGAATGACGCCACGGTAAGGCCCAGCAACTGCCCCCCCGGAGGCAAGGGTGGGTTCCGATTGGGTGGCAGGAAGCCGAGGAGACGGGTGAATCACCTGCTATTGGTTGAATGCTGTTTACTTCGGAGAGGGGAGGGATGATGTGGCAGAAATGGGCGTGGCAGGTCTTAGCGGGGACTACATTTTCCGGCAGCCTTTGCTGTTCCACTTGGGGACGTTGGAAAGGGTGTAATGCATTGTGGGCCTTTTCTCTGTCTGGCGGAGCGTTGTACAATAAAGGAAAGGAGGGAGATGGGTGCGCTGGGGCTCCTTCGCATTAGAATTGAATTCGTTTATTCTCTTCATTTAGGGCTCCATCAAAGCCAGGGTATCTTTTCTGCAATCAGTGCGAGAGGCTCTGTGTGTATACGAGCGAAAAGCACAATACCTTGTGTTGTCGTATTGAATTACACGGGGCTTATGTCACCGCTTCCTCATCCAGTGATCTGAAACTGAGCTGGACTTCAATTTCTCTCGCCCCCTCCCCTCCCAGCTGGCTCGGGTTTTCTTTCTTCTGTGTGCGCATCTCCCGCCCATACTAGCAGGATCACCCTGACCAATGGCAAGGCTAAACACGCCACAGTGTAAGTGGAAATTATTTATGAGATGAGAATAGGATTTTACTTTTGTTCCGTGGGGGGGGAGGATCTTGAAAGTCTCTGTATTATCTATAACTGGAAGTAGTTCTGATGAACATGCAGGGCTTTTCACAAGAATACACACACATACACATATTCTGTACACACCCTGCACACACATACATACATGACAGCCAGTTTGGTATAATGGTTAAAGTATCAGGCTAGAGATGGTGAGTTCTAGTCCTGCCTCAGGCAAGAAGCCAGCTGGGCGACCTTGGACCAGTCACTCTCAGCCCCAGGAAGGAGGTGATGGCAAACCACTTCCGAAGTACAGTATCTTGCCAAGAAAACTGCAAGGGCTAGTCTAGGCTCATGGGCACCCCTCAAAACAGTATGCATGCATACAAACATATGCACTCTTCCTCTCCTCTCACCTCCCCTCCAGTCTCTACTTTCCACCATTTTGAGTTCTTGAGAATTCGAAGGCTTGCATGCTCTTTTGTGACTAACTTGACCAATAAAGGTATTGCTGAAATGAAGATGATGGGATTTTTCTTGTAGCCAAAACAGCAAACCATGTATTTTTCTTTTTCTTGGCCATTCCTAATACAATAATGATTACTGTATTTTCATTTCCATTTAACCTCAATCCGTAAATGAAAATATTAACACTTCCTGTTCCAGGTGAAGTGGATTATAATCCACAACAGACTATTACCTGACTTAATTATTACCAGACTATTAACTATGTTAATAAATGTGTTGATCTGTTAGAATCCCTGATACAGTTTTTGCTGCAACATATTCATACACAGTCAATTCTCTGGACAAATTTAATTATTATTTTTACTTACTATGGATACCGCTTGTTCAAGGGGCATCTGGATCACAATTTCATTGAAACTATTAAACTATTTGGTTTAAATCCTTGTAGATCAGCTGAAGAGATTAACAGTTACTTAATATTAATTTAAGTAATGTCCCCACCCAAAGCCAATCTTCCTAATAGTGGAAAAAAGAGTGATGATAAATGTCCTTCACTTTATTTTTTGAATTAAAAAAAAGCTATCAGTTTAACAAAGCTTTGCACTGTCTAGCTAATCATTTGTCCTCACTATAAAAGATATGGAGCACATGTAAGGATAAATTTAGTAGTAATTTCACTAATTTTCTAGCAAGTATACCTAGATGAATGCAAACTGCTCCTAAATATATTACCTTGTGGGAATCTCCTATTCAGTTCAATAAATCCAGAAAACAAATGCAAAGTCATTACAGTGTTCATTCATACATTTTCCAAAAGCTACATGTGGGTCCTTCACTATCTTCTTTTTATCTGTTTGTCCCCACAAATTGTTTTTAAAGTTCCAATAATCTGTTTGAAAGTTGCACAAGACTTATGAGCTACCAACTGATTTTCTTTCCTGCATCTGTGGAAAGAAACCAAAACTGAGAAATCACCTTCTGCTTTGTGGGTATCACATAAAATTTGTTTTCCAGATTGTGGCAGACAGAATATTTTGAAGATCACACTTGGAAGGATTTTCAAGCCCTGATGGAAATTCATAGGAAGGAGTTTGTTCACGCAACAGCGGCTGCCTCAACAGAGGCAACAAGGAGAGGCTTAGTTCACCTAGCAAGCTTGAAGAACTTGTTTATTTTTCTCATGTTGACCGAACATATCTTGAGGTTATGATGTGGGCAACTACCAAAGAAGTAACTTTTTCCAGCACTTGCGTAGTGTACTCATCCATTAAAACGTAAATAAAACTTAGAGAAGAAGCATGTGGTTATACTTTCTAGCCATTTCCAAACCTGCTGCACAACAGACATGAACTGCAAAGTACAGGTAGTCCTCTTTTAACAACCATTTACAGTTACGGTAATGAAAGAGTAACTTTATGACCAATCCTCGCATTTATGACCTTTGTAGGTCTGTAAAGCAAAGGAAAGCTGAAGTAAGATCATAAGCATAATCATGGTTTCATTTATTGACTGCTTTGCTTAATGACCAAGTTGCTGGTCCCATTTGTCACTAAACGAGGACGATCTGTATTAGTTTTTTGGCAGAAACTGCCTTTCTCAAGATTTTATAGTAGGCTACTAAATGGGGTGAGAGACTGGTCAGCAGTGCATTTTAGTACATGTGTGAAGTTGTGAGAAAAAGAAAGTTAAGGATCACAATCTGAATGAGAAAATGCAGAATAAATTCCATTTTCTTCTTTGAAGATTGGAGGGTTCCACCAGGTACATACTATATGTTTTCTGATATTAGCTAGATTTAATCTCTGCAAGTATTGCCAGTCAACTTCAGAAGCTTTGGGGATCAGTCACAGCAGCACCGATGAGCTGAAGAAGATCAGAATCCATTTTGTTAAAGGCTAGTGACCTTCAGAGCAAGTAGATATCTGAATTAAAAAGTTGGATTTATTTGAGTCAATGTAGTTTTCGTTGCTATGCCCCTGCTAAGTCTCCAACCCTCCAAGAAAACATAAAGCATGGTCCATTTAGTGTTGTGTCACACAGTGGCCAAACACATACATATATTTACAACATGGACAGGAGGGCAAAGGCTCATTTCCATTGTTGCTCCATGACAACTGTTATTTAAGGTATGTTGCCTGTGATACCAGAGTTAATAAACAACCATAAAACCTAGATGTTACTGATAGCCTGATCTTCCATAAATTTGTCCAGGTCCCTTTTAAAACTATCTAAATTGGTTACTTCACCATATTTGATGGCAGAAAATTCCACACTTCATTAATTTTGCAAACGTAATGCAAACCCATTGGCAATTTCTGTGTAAATCTTCATACATACAAGGAATTGCTGTACCACAAAGAAAGCCAAATGATGATTTCACAGCATTTATTATATAGGTGTTAACAGGAAATTAAAAAAAAAAAACCTTTGTAATTGTGTTCACATTTCATAGGAATAAAGTCAAAGCAAAAGCACATGTTTTGAACGCAGAGTCCAAATTCAGTGCTAGGCACCTGTAGTTGAAAGATCTTAGAGACACTGCAGAGACCTTAGACCAAAGGAACTCTGTATAAAGAAGCTTTATATAATCATATATACGTTCATTGTATCACATATAGACTCAATAGCTGTGTTTACTAATCCATAATTTATTTATTTGTGCTTAACTGAATTAGCCTAATTGGCTGGTTCACACTGAACTATAAACAAGCCAATCACATTTCATCTTAGAATGGTGTGCAAACCCTGTCAACAGATACATCATCTAACGGTGGAAATGATTGGATCACAGGACAATAAGACTTGGATTCAAAGCTAAATGAACTTAAAGAAATTCACAAAAGGAAACTTTCATCTTCCTCCCCTTCTCAAGACTGGGATACATACCCAGCAACTGGAGATGAGTGGATGAAGATAACTATCATCAATTAAATTGGTATTGCCATGGGAAACATCTTTCAAGAAAGGATTTGCCAGTGTACCATCTACTTCCAGAAGTTCCAACTTCATATTATCATGAGTGATACCACTATACAGAGTCAAATGCTATAGTCTCCAAACTATCTGATATGGCTTCACCATGCCTTAGCCACAGAGCAGCCCCAGATTCCTTGGGGATTACCTACTACAACTATTATTTGAGAGAATCTTAGGCATGAGAATTTAAAAGCATCCTGAGTACTCTCTTTTGTGCATTACTCTGGTACTTGGATAATAGTTTGGTTACCACCTGATCACTGAAAATTCTCTCCAGATCCAATGGTGAGGGATTAATCAGGAGCATCTACTGTGTATATATCTAAAATTTTGGAGTTGTGGGTGCCACAGTTTACTTTGGATATATATGATTTAGACCCAGTTTGGATTGGTGGTTAAGGCACCAGGCCAAAAACTGGGAGACTGTGAGTTCTAGTCCTGCCTTGGGCACAAAGCTAGCTGGGTGGCCTTGGGCTAGTCACTCTCTTTCAGCCCTAGGAAAGAGGCAATGGCCAACCACTTCTGAAAATCCTGCAAAGAAAACTGCACGGACTTGTCCAGGCAGTTGCTAGGAATCAATGCTAACTCAAAGGGAGATGAGAGAGAGGGAGGGGGGGGGAGAGAGAGAGATGATGATAGATAGATAGATAGATAGATAGATAGATAGATAGATAGATAGATAGATAGATAGATAAAGATACTCCTGATTGTTTACTCTGATACTCCAGCTTTTTCCACCCTCCTTCAGTTGGCTATGGGAAAAGCCAACATTTATGCCTCTAACAACAAACTACACAGAGTCTTCATACCAACTGCAGTAAGAGGGGTGCTGTTCTTGTTTCGCAGCTGGCTCTCAACTCACTGGTTGTGGAAGCCATCTAGAAGAAGTTATCAGAGCAATGACATATGGATAAAGCGGAGAAAGTGGAAGAAAGCTGGGTATGATATTTCACAGGGAATACTCTATTTTATCTTTTCAGAATTATGAATCATTAGACATGTCTCAGCAGTTATCAGCTTTTTTTTTTTTTTTGAGTAGAGAGAGAGAGAGAGAGAGGAATGATGACCTTCTTCATTTGGTCATCAGAGGAGAAAATAAAGCTCACAGGAATCTTCACAACTCCGGCATCAGTACTTCTGAAATAAATCAGTACTGCAAAATAGGTTGTGGAGTAGCTTGATGTCCTTGACTGGATTGGCTGACAGCCACTGTGGTCATAATCTAAGAGTTCAAAGTAATATTCTCCCATACTTGGAGATGTTGTACAAAGTGGGAGCTGAGTAGGCAAGCAGTCAAGGAGACAGTTGAGTCAAAGGCAATATTTAGAAGGATTCCTGTACCAATACCTAGAGGAAGGACAACTTTCGATGGAACTAGAAAACCTTTGTATATCAGGAGCCTATCTCTACTTTTCAGATAGAGGCAAAGAAGAATGTGATGGCCTGCAACTATCTGGGTTCATGTGTCAGGATCAGTACTGAGGAAAACAAAAAATAACAGGTTAGCCAGCTGCATCCCCGTTTGATGAGCAGCATTTTTAAAAATATTTTGCATTCCATCCATTGTGTCATCTGCTTTTGGGCTGAATAGACTTCACTGTCAAAAATAAGCCCTTGGTTCAGTTCTCGGAACTCCTGAGAGATCATAACTCTTGGGTTATGACCACAGTGGCCATCAGTTACACACTGGTTACTGCTCATGGGTAGTTGTTCAGTCTCCTATCTGATTTTATTTCTGTTGAACATGGTTTTACTTCTGCTACACAAAGGAGTGATTAAGTTTGTTCTACTATCACAACTTGCTTTTATTCATATTGTGGTATTAAATACTAATGGAGGAGCATGCCCAGTACTTGATCTCTGCTTTCAACAAATACATCCAACCATAAAGATTCAGAATGAGGGCATTTCAGACTAGTTTTCCTCAATAACCTAAGTGACATTACTTCCATATAGCTGTTTTTCCACAACACATTTTTTTTCTGTTCTGTATTCAGCAATATTTCTTAGCAATTCAGGATGTTGTTTTTCAATCTGCCAGCCATTCTCAGGGTTTTCACCAAGTCATGAGAATGATTGTGACATATCTTCATTTATTGGGCATTCATATTTACAGTATTTCAATTACTGTCCTCTTATTTTGTCAGTTAGTATACTGGGACTACTATAGCTTCGTGGTTCTCAGCCAGTTGGTCATATAAATATAAAGAAGTCCTGTCTGGGTCTTTCCCAAGTCATATATCAGGGTCTATCTAGATTCTCAGTCAATATGGGTTTTAATACCATCTCTTTAGGTACTAATTCTCTCAACAATGGCTCTTGACAGGAGCAATCAATCTTAAATGCAGTTTCGTATGGTGCGTTGTCTTTTTTATCTTATCACATCCAGTACAATGAATGTGCAACATACATGGGCTCCAGAACTGATTTATCACCATTCTCCACTCAAGGTTGGATCCCCAAGGGACTTCTGGGGAAGCAATGGTGGACTGAAGACACCATGGCAGAAAGAGGAAATGGTGAATGGATTGTCTCCTTGGAACCCCTCTCCAACTCAAGGAGAGGACTAGGATCACCCACAGGTTTGCTCCATATAAAGGCTCACCCTCAAAGAGACCACAAAATAGCAATCTCTGGCAGGTTTGAGAGCTCTGGGAGCCAGGAGAAATCATCCTGCCTAAACCGCAGCTCGGTGCCTTCAAATGGACACTTCCTTTCTTAATTACCTTAGGAAATTGCTTGTTCTTGATCTTTTGGATGTTAAGAACCTTCTGAAGGGCAAGTTTTATTATGCC